TAAAATTATAAATCAGCCAATTTGCTAATGCTCTAAGCCTCTTTTGCATCTTGCTCAGAATAAGATAATTCTTCGAATTCCATATACCAATATCAATTTCCATATTGTCTTTATAAAAAATTGTAACGTCAAATTGTTGCTTGAAAAAGTAATAAATAAAAAGCAATGCCTATAACAAAAATCAAAGCTGGATCTTAAGTGCTTTTTAAATAATATCCAGAAATGGACAGTTACTTTGTAAAAGTAATTAATTACAGTTACAATTTCTTTCTCTCAAAAAGTAATTAATTACCGTTACAAGTTATTGACTCTGAATTCGTTACAGTTACAGTCACTTTCAGTTACTTTTAAGTTACTTTTAAATGTTTTTTTCATCAGAATTTTCAGCAGAACGTGTAACATCGATATCATTAATGAATTTGATAGATTAATGAATTTTTAGATATTTACATGACTGTCCCTCCTTAATAGACTTATTAATAATAATTAGTTAGTTTCTGTGACGACTGACGCATACTCGTTTCTTACATTTTTTATCGTGCCAAGACGTGGATATACTCTTAAGAAAAGTACTACTGCGCAATAATATTTTGTGGCACTAGTCTACTACTATAGCAGTAGTCCACCAAAATATTAATAGTGCGCTCACAATCAGTAGTATTTTTTTTACAAGGATACCTGAATACAACTCTAAAATATAACCAGGATATACATTTTTTACGAGCTACTGTGAAAGTTAAAATAAGCAATCATGTACTTGACTTTGAGAAAAGACAGATTGAATGTAATAAATTGACGCTACAGACTACAATGTATAATATACGTATCTGTGCAGTAAATGAAATATGCCTACAATATGTAGAATTTAAATATTAATCGGGCTTTCAGAATTCAAAAACTATAATAAAATACATCGGGCAATGAGAGCATTAACACAGCGCGCAAATAAAATATAATTATCCAATAATAATATAAAAAAGTAGGGATAGGCTCATTCTTAGTCTCACATAAAGTTTAATAAACTTCATCGAAATATTTTGTCAAGACATCTACAATAAGTATCTATGAAATTGCTGAAAATGATTTGAAGAAAACCGAACGTTCAAATAAGATCATACCGATTACAATTGTACTTTTATATATTATGTCTATAATACTTTCGTTAGATACGTACTTTTCATTTCCTTATTAAATTTTCAAATCATATCTATAAAATGAAGATCACATGACAACAATTTTAATGACTAATATAAGAGAGACAGATCGTGTAAATATATAATAAATATAGTGTCAAAATTTTTATAACATTGATAAAATATTTGTGCATGGTATATGTGTGTATCAGTAAGCTGGAATGTTAAATAATCTTTAAACAACTTTACATTTCGCAGACAACACATCATCATTCATCGGCGACAAAAAAAGAGTCACATTCAATAACAGATATCATTCGATTGTAACGAAAAGAGCTCAATCAAAATTATGCAACAATTTTGAATCAAACAAAAAATAATGATCAGTAATAAGCGTGAAAAATAGAAGACAAAATAGAAATGCGAAACACTATTATACGGCAGATTATCTCAACAATAGACACATTTTTTCATTCTAATACATATTTTGTTTCTATGTATATCGCTTTATCTTTATAATATCTATAATAATATATCTGAAGCATGTAAAAAATCGAACTAAATCACTTGAGGTCTATTCGACCATCTTTCACGTATACCTGTTAGCTAATTTTATATCAAATATGAATATTCTATGTATTGGATTGTCCAGAAAGTTCGTGCCGATTTTGAAGGAAAATTGAAACGCAGAAGATTTAAATTTTTAATTTCATTTATTAAATTTAAATCTTTTGCGGCACGAACTTTCCGGACGACCCAATACATTTGAAAAAATATTATGAGCATTTCTCTGTGTACAAATTCTTTTCGCATTCATATTTTATTAAATTAGATTAATATTTATTAATATTTATAATTTATAAATATGTATACAAAATCAAAATTTACATACCTAAGTATTTAGTATAATCATACTATAAGTATCAATTTAACGAAATATTTATCAATTTAACTGTACATACTGCGATCGTCATTTTAAATTTTTGACATGTCAGAAATTATATTTTAAATTCCAGTTTTTTGATAACAAGCTACTGTAATTTTTTGGTCTGATGATTCATAAATTTTTAAAATTAGAATATGATGCTTTATAAAATTCTACTCATATGAGCAACACATCCAGCTTGTATTCTCTGAATTCTGCGCATTAATATCAAGTGGAACCCTATTTTAATATTCAATAAGGTTAATATGTTGCAATATTAATAATAATATTTTATTTATTTATATGTTTACATTCTATTCTGCATTTCTGATTTATTTTTTTTTAAATAACATAGTTTTTAAATTTTTGTAAAATAGTAAATAAAATTACTATTTTACATTATTTAAAAATAGTTTGTTATTTATTTATTCATTTTTGTTACAGTTATACGATATAATATAACTTTCTAAATACATATTATAGATGTTTCAACATAAGTTATTTATCATTATTTTGACGTTAAAAACATATTAGTTTTTCCAATAACGTGGATCCAGATACGGTGAATGCTAAAATCATGTTATCCTTTTGTTAATTAGTTATTAAGGAGAAGATAATGGTCTTAGCATTCACTGTATCTAGATAAACGGTATTATAAAAACTTATATGTCACAATGACGATAATTGGAACGTTTAGGAAGAAACTGTTAGAGTTATTGATCTACTTTTATAGTTCATTAAAAGTAAAACAAGAATAGAATGACACAAAAAGCGTTAGCATCTTTCCAAACGCACTCTACTAACTTTGAAATTTAATTAACAATTTTAATTCTCCATTGTTGATACACGAAAGAGGACAAGAATACTTGTCCTCTTATACTTGATTTGTCTTATAAAAACAATTTTTCTTGCCTTATAGAAGCTTCTTTCTAAATAAGAAATATTAATAAAATATGAATAAAATATTAATAAATAAATATACATAGTTTGACATCTTATAAAATATAACAATAAATATAACAATAAAAGCAATAAAAAATGTATTTTATCTTTCGAAGTAATCCCGCATAACATTAATACACTTCATACATCTTTAATGTAAAGTTTCAAAACTTTTTGTTAAAATTCGTAGTTGAAATGCTATTCAAAATACTCGTCATATTTTTCTGAATGTTCTCGACGTTTTGAAAATGTTTATTTTTTACATTTTTAAGCTTTAGGAACTGTTTCATTTCATTTTTTATTTCCATTTTAATCATATTATATCTTTGTAATATTTAAAAAAACATAGCTTTTTAATGTAAATAATAATTGATTCTCTGCTACTAGATGGAAGATAAAAATAGTAAACAGTTCTCCAATATTACCGATTCAACCGTTCCAAATAATGCTAGCGAAACAGATTTCGATGAGATACCTACAACTTCAATTTCCACTGAGGAATATACTCCATCATCAGTATCAGTACCAACCACCTTCGACATCGAGCATCGTTATCAATTAGTTGGCAATATCAATATTATCAATCAAATGTAAGCAGTATTTATTCATAATTATTATTTTTATATATCGTAGCAAAATATCTAAATTCTCTTAAAATAAAAGAAAATCATTTACACTCTCATTTTAAACATGAATATTTTGTATGAATATACAATCATTTTTTTAAATATATTAATTAAGAAATGACATCTTTAATAGATGATTTTTTTTTACAAAGAATATTTATTTATAAAGTCGAAATTAATTGAATTTGTGATCTATTTTCGTTTTGTATTTCTTATTATATATGAATTGTTTGATAAATTCAATTTTTTTGTGAAGAAAAATGTCGAAAAAATTAAAAATGCCAAACATTGTAAATAATGGTTCATAGCTAATGATTTTTAAATTAAGAATAATCTTTCATAATTTGAACGCTTTAAAGACATAAGTGAATATGTAATCCTTTATCTAATTTTGAACAGGTTTATGTTAAACAGCTATATTCATTCGAAATAAGTTGCAAAGTGAACAGTTTGCAGGGAAGTTGATCAAGACGTGCTTTGCATCTGCTATACGGAAACTTACGACTTTTTGGCGGCAGGACTGTTGGACGGGAATGTAAAATTCTACAAAGTTAATTCGGGAGAGAATACGTTGAGTCTGTGCGATACGGAAATAATGCTGAATCCGTCTCCAGTGACCGCTGTAAAGCACCGACCAGTGCGCAGTACATATCCGATCACTAATATTGTGATAGCGACTTGTTAGTATCGCTTCTTTCACTTCTTATTTTAATTACTATGTAATGAATTTAATTATTATCTATTTAATAAATCTTTATCTGGAAATTATTTAAGCTCACTTTCGAAAAAATTATATTAAAATCAACAAATATTGTTAAATTTTATATTTTGGATTTATTGCATAATTAGAAATAATTAAGATTTTAAAAACAATTTTATATAAGAGAGAGAGAGAGAGAGAGAATATTGATGTAATATTATATAATACACAGTGTAATATAAGATGCAATTTTATTTTACATTTTTGAAATAATACCATGCAAAAGAAAATGAGCAAAGCAAAATAATAAAAACAAATTTCCGTATTATTTATTCATTATTAAAGGCGAATTTAAAAAATATTAATTTATCTTAAAAAATTTAACTTTAAATGCATTAAAAACTTTATTAATATCTTAAATTATTTTTTCTTGCCTTTAATGATGATGTTTATATAAAGCTTCATAAAATTACGTAAAATAAGTATTAATTTAAAAATTAATATTGATGGTAGCATAAGCTATAGCATAAACTATAAATAATATAACGTTAAAAAATTTAATTCAAAAATTAAAATTATAATTGAAAGTTTTATTTTCGTTTAAAGGATAAAATTTTACGTTAATGTTATTCGTAT